TGTAATGGCAGAGTTGGTTCACAGAATTTGTCTCAATTTGTTTCTGGAAAATTATTCCGTCAATAAATAAAAATAAAATCTAGGCTTAAAAAATAAGGTTTGGACAGAGACAAAGTATGCAGTTCAAAAAATCCTTTAGTTAGCAACTAAGTACCCAACATAACATCTGCCTTGGAACAGTGCCTTGTAATACCCAAGTTCAAAGCCATTTGTTTACTCTCTGAAAACAGAAAGGTAGTAATGAACAGTGGCCAAAGGGTAAATGTAGCTTTATTCACAGCAACACCTTAATGACTAATCTCTGCCACAGGGATATACATTCCACCAGGGCGGAAATGCTTTTCTTTACTGCTGCAGCCCCAATGTCTAGACAAGAACCTGAAAGTTCATGGATATTCCCTAGAGTGCTTGTTGAATGAACAAAGAGATTGAGGCTGGGACAGAGGATCTGCCTAGAGAGCAAGACCATGCCTCAAAAAAAGTCAAATTTAAGCACTATGTATTTTGGAAAGAAAACTTCCAAACAGATTATCAGCAAATTTCTTAAAGTAGATCTGCATGCTCTATGACCACAACCTAAAAAGGAAAGGCAGAACTAAAGACCCTAGGAAATATTTAAGTTTGCTGTAGCTTATCAAGCGACATTTGCCACAAACCATCCAGAAATGGAAAACAAAACCAATAGGAATTGGTAACATCAAGAATGTTATAAATAGTATGATGTATTTAAAATGAAACAGCCACAAAGCAACTGCACATTTCAGCCTTCAGAGGAATTTTTAGGAAATAATAAAAATCCTATTTAATGTATTTATCTCAAATTAGAGACAAACATTTTATAATCTATAAAAATGTTCTTCAGGCTAGCTGGCTCACGCCTATAATCCTAGCTACTTAGGAGGCTGAGATCTGAGGATCGTGGTTCAAAGCTAGTCCAGGCAGGAAAGTCCGTGAGATTCTAATCTCCAATAAACCATCAGCAAACCAGAAGTGGCACTGTGGCTCAAGTGATCAGAGTGCTAGCCTTGAGCTAAAGAGCTGAGGGATAGCACCCAGGCCTGGAGTTAATTCAAGTCTAACTACTGACCAAAAAAAAAAAAAAAAAGTTCTTCTGATGTTCACTGAGTATATTTTACTGTAAAGATATAACTGTAATTACATATACAACCAAATGGAAATGTTCACCTTATTCTGAATGTATTTTAGAGAACACTGAGGCTTCAATGCCCTTTGAATTAAAGAAAAAAAAAACTCTACATCTAAATCTATCTCTACACTTTTTCTAATTTCATTCATAACACTCATACAACTGGGAGGTTCTTTAGAAATTAGCCTAAGTATGTCTTGAGACTGACTAATAATCATGAATGTAAGAACAAATTTAGATGCATCTTTAGGAGAAAAGATCTAGCAACTGGAATTTTTGACATTATTACCTTCAAACAATCAGTACTCAGAGTTAAATAGCATGAAAATGTTAAATCAAAATTCCTGGCCTGGGCTCTAAGTGTTTTTCCCTTCCTCTCGTTTAGTGTTTTCATGTATTTAGTAAATCCAGAGAACACATTTTTACTTTTTTTAAAAAGTAAATCTGGATAATGCAAAGTCAAAGTACTTTTCATGTTAGCCGGTGTTAGGGGGTTAGTATCAAGACAGTGTCTACAAGGTATTCCTTATAGTTAATACTACTCATTTACTATCTAGCATTTCCTCCCCTTCCAGGATTAAAAGGCTCATAATTCAAGGCCCACAAGGGTTCTCTTTTCTACACTAAAAGAGAAAGGTTATAAAATTAGAGAAAGTTAAGGACCTTAAAGGAAAATTTATTAGAGAAGTTGTGTATATCGAGGTAGGTTGTCTGACCATTTCAGTGCAGGTCTTTGATTGTTTTTTGGTTTAGGTTATTCCCCCTCAACACCCTACCCCACCCTGCCATGCCCCGTAGACTCTTAAAACAAGTATTACTAATTTGACTGATGTCTTTCTGAGTTCTGGTCATTTTGCTCAGCTCTGACAAACTCAGACTTTTATCTGCTTTGCCACTTCAAGGAGAGCACATACTTCTAAGTTAAAATAAATGCTATCTGGGGGCTAGCAATCATATATTATAAACTACATTTACCTTTTATCAGACATATTTTGATTTCCTTGAATTCTCAAAAAAGATTATTCTGCTCAAGAGTCAAGTTAACTGGTTCAGTAAGCTGGCACATTTCTTCATTAGACAAAGCTCAATTTAACCTTTCAGTTAAGAGAGGATAAATTGGATATAACCTTTCTTTATTATTCTTGCTGTCTTTATTGTGTTTACAGTATTGGGGATTCAACTCAGTCTTGGGCTTGCACTCTACAACTTGAGCTACAAACCTAGTCTATGGAAGGAAATAAAATGAAAACAAACAAAAACAAAGAAACCAAAATAAAACAACTAACCAATCAAAGAAACAAAATAAACACCAAAAGAAAAAAAAACCCAAAAATCCATATCCTTCTGTTCTTAGGATCTATACCAAAATGATATATTGTCTTTCCCAAATTTGGTAGCATTTAATTATTTGGTAAACAGAGCAGGTTAATAAGGTGATTTCAGTGGCCAAGATACTAACAGATCAAAATAGAAATTATTAAAAATCTATTCATCTGTCTTAAATCAATGCTCATTAATTTAAAAAATCTCATTTATCCAGCCACTAAAATAAATACTACTTGTAGTTTTTGAAGATCAGATAAACACATAGAAAGGAAATGATAAAGCATTTAGTTTTTCTCTCTGCTTTTCTTTCCCTCCTATGCTGAGGATGGAACACAGGACTTCAAACATGGCAGGATGAATGCTCTACTAAGCCAACATCCCCAGCACCCTTAAGGCTCTTAAAAATAGGAATTTCCTGAACCAAGATGAATGGCACTTTTATTCTTTTCCCTTCTGGAGTAATTTAGATATTAGTTTCATACTGGAAGACCATGACAAGACAAGGATTTGGCAAATGCTCAAGGGTGCAGAAGTGTTAACATGATTGGTCAGACTGTCACCGGGTGATCAGAAGACTGAGTGAGTATATATTAGATTTATGGACTTAGAGAAGATGAGATGAAACAGCTAAAAACTATTTCCCATTTTATAAAAAACGCTCAGATGTGTGCTGTTAGTAATTTCTGAGACTGAAACAGCAGTATACTCATCAAATGTGCACCATATAAAACATGAATAACATTTAAATGCGATAATTAGATAAAATATGGTGCATGACAGAAAAGGAACTAAATTTGGTAAGAGCGAAGAGATAGTAAGAACTACTTTTATCAGAGGCTAATTGCAAGGGAATGATACAAATCATTTTGATTAAATGCAAATTATATGGAATTCACTTTAAAATTTTTTCCCATAAAATCTGAAAGATCACTTTTTTGGAGAAAATTAGATGGGAGCTTTATTTAGACAAATCAGAGTAAAAATTTTCAAATAGACTTTTTGCTCTTATTATTAGTATTTTAGGTTATAATTTATTGCTAAGTCTTGAGATTAAAAAATGAGTAACATGAATAAGGGCTTTCCTAAGTTCTACAATAGAACTGGTGATAACATAAGCTCACTTCACATAAATATCACTATTAATATCAGTATTTCTTGTCAATTACATACAACTTTCATTTCCAGTTTCAGAACTACCAGCTTTGGTTAATATGGATGTTTAAATTCTGGATAACTAACTTTGCAAACTTTCTATCTTTGTCTCCTTTGCAAGCCCTTCTAAAAGAGAAGGAGAGCCAAAACATGAGCTGCATGTTGACAAGCGCAGTTTAGGAAAAGACTATGACTGATAACTTGAATTTTCATCACTGAACCTTAGTCAATAATAAAAAGTATTTAAACATGCTAGTAACATTTGGTGTTTAAGAGCCCTCATTATCTATAAAAATGTTATAATTACATGGAGATTTTTTTTCTTTTGCTGGCAACAAAATCTGAACTCAAGGCCTCATGTTTGCTCAACTTGCTTCTGTGGATGGTGCTCTACCACTTGAGGTATAGCTTTGCTTTTTGCTGGTCATTTGAGATGGAATCATCCCCTTTTTGCCTGGACTCTTACTAAGTATGATCCTCTAGATCTTAGTTTCCTGAGTAGCCAGGATTCCACAAGTAATAGCCACGGGCACCTGGTTATGTACAGATCTTTTAACTGGATACATTTATCAGTAGAAGCAGTTGTAACAGTAATATTAGTTATAATTCCAGCAGTAATAAAAGCATACATTTGCTATGTGATATCTGGATTTCAGAGATAAGGAAAGAGAAGTGAGGCCAGATAACTTATTCAAGTTCACATAATTAGAAACCACCAGACCTTGGATTCAAATTGGGCTTTGCTTTTATAGCTTGAACTCTTAAATATGTATGGTATATTAGCAAATCAAATCAAAGAAATAATGAATTAGATCTAATTTGAATCAGATCTAGCAGTTTTGCTAACTAAACAATGAAAAACACCACAGGTTTTGAAAGATTAATGTTTTTCAAGTCAATATTCTAATACATACGAAGTAGACTGTGGGGACTCTCAAGAGGCTATCTGTAGGAGTTATTAGTGAAGGAGCAAAACCCAATGATAAACAACCCACTTGGCTCTTATGATTTGTTAGAACCTTACTGTCTTTACATATCAATGAAGTACTTTTTGTACATGTATGCAACACAACAGTCAGGCAATTATATACTTTTTTTTATTTCCAAATAAACACTGGAACTTATTCACATAAACTATTTCTTGAAGTTGAGATTTGGAAATTTTAGCTGTATCTAATTATATTTTAAAATATTCTCACTAGGGTGGTTTTCAATGAAATTTTCATTATGATTATTTTAGAATGTTAATTTGATAGTTATTTTTATGATGAAGTTTGGTTGACAATCAGATAATTAGTATAATAATTAGCCAATCAAGCTACTTCATTTTATTACAGAATTATACTTAAAGAAATGAAAAGGAAACCAATTTTACCTTAGTAAATTTTGCTGCATATGTTCAGCCTTCATTAAAATTTGAACCCCCACCTGAGCACGAACGTAAGCTTTTAACCTGAAATGACAATGTCATAATGAAAAAACAAAATAGATTTTTAGCAATACTTCAGAACAGTGTTTATGAAGACTAATTATTTGTGAACAGCTATTAATATTTAAAATTCAGCTAAACATAGAAAGGTTAAAGGTATTTTCTATCTGAGGATTTGGAAATTTTAAGTTACTTTTCTTCTCTTTATTTAATTATACATCTTAAATTTAAATTATACTTGTTTTAGCTAATTGTTCATATATTTTATTTTTAGACAGTAAAATACTCTGTGACTAAACCAAGCATTGATATCCCAAGCAAGAGCATATGGTAAAAATAAAAGTCAACCAAGTTCCTTCCCAGGAATATCAAAATCTCACTCTCTAATAATAGTTTACTTTTATTGAACCCTGCCTCCTATACACTTGGCCCTGTACTAGGCCCTGTGTGGTATTTTTTTTAAATGCTTCACAACAACGTTATCATCTAGTAGGTATCATCATTCTCTTCACTGATGGAAAAATTCAAGGGCTGGAAATAATTTCTCCTGATCACATAGTTAATAAGGGATAGAACCAGTTATTTTATTCTAATTCAGACATCCATGACTGAATTTTTCCACTATGCTATGTTAACCATTTTTGTCCATGTTGTATTTCTGGACAGGAGGCAAAGTGTACCTTATAGTCTATGAAGACTTGGCTGAAGCAGAAATTTCCTGTCTTTAACAGCTACTTGGAAAGTTTTAATTTTCAGAGTTTTTGGTTCAACTTGAAATGCAGCTTAGTTTTCAGGCTAAGAGTTAGGAATGCCGGACTTACCAAACCCTCTCTGCGTTTTAGTTATATGGGGTTGCCTAATACCTTAAGACTGTTTCCCCATCTGTAAACTGAGTATAATAACAGTAATTTTTACTACATACCAGGTTATTGTGAGTATTAAATGAATTAGCATGTTTGTTGCTATCTCCTTTCAAGCATCTCTGCAACACAGTATATACTTTACTGTTTTTACTGATGACCTTTAGTAAACATCAAGAAAATGGGACTAAAACTGAACTATATCAACATATCACATTCTAAAACAGCTATAATTAGACACTGTTGAAAACAAACTTTACAACTTGGTGGGGGTGGGGAGGGCAAGGTAGAGTTAGGGAGGTGCGGAGGGAAGGGATGGTAGGGGAAAAACAAAGGTAACAATGGTAACAATGCTCGATAGGAAATGTACTCATTACTCATATAACTAACCCCTCTGTACTGTATCTTTACAATAAAACAGCTATAATTTTCCATAATAAATGCAAACTTAAAGACATTTCAGCATTTTTAACATGTCATACAGTTAACATTTTGAAAAATACCTTTGACGAATTACAGGATCTGACATTTCAGGATCGATGTAAGATTTTAAAATTTCATTAATAGTTTTATCATCTGGTACTCTTTCAAAAGAGAAAAAGAACAGATAAATTATTATCTATAAATTGCTACTAAAAATGATAAATCGATAAATAAATGTGTAGCTTCCTACTTAAAAATGTGAACAAAGATCTTTCACTTTACTCTCAGCAAAATATACATTCTTTGAAGCAAAACTGTATAGAAAAAAAGTACAAGAGACATCTTTAGTACCCTTTTTTAATATTTTGATCTGAGACTAGGACTCGAACTGGGTACCTGATGCTTTTGGCTCATTGGCTAGCACTCTACTAAGGATCTATCCCATTCTTGGGCACCCTTTAACAAGGCCTTAAAAAATATTTTCAAACACTCCTTATAAATCATTATGAAACCATGAAGCCTCTTTAAAGGACACCTGTTCTTCAACATGAAAAACAAGGGTCAAGGTGAAATATATTTAAATCTTGCAGAAATAAAATACAAGCTGAAAATAAAACCAAGCTGATTGATTCTAAATCAAAAGATCAAGTTAGAAGGTTGCCAATTTCCTTGGAAAGAATGAATTTTAATTTTCCATATTTATGTACACAGTCTTAATTTTATATATAAATCTATATAAACAAAATTAAGACACTTTTGAAATAGTAACTTTACCCAATCATTTAAACATATTCAATGAAAGTAGTGACTAAACACTCCTATCTGTAAATTAAATCATTTGTTTTAGCCTGGTATGTAATTTCTAATAAAAGTTCTTCACTAAATGACAATTAAAGAGAAGACATTAGTATAATGTGGATATATGCTAAATGTACTAAACATCATCTTTTCAAGCTTTCCTAGCCTAGGTAATAAAATAGCATGATTAAAATTTTTACTGATATTTGAAAATGGTCCTAATATGAAAAAGTCCATTTTCTGGACTTGACCCCACTCTACTCCCCCACCCCCTTGCAAAGACTAATACTATGCATTCTTCTTTAACTTGCTTTTCTCATTCAACAAAATGCATTCATGTTCATATACATAGTTATAGTTCATTTATTTTCAGTGCTTTCTTAGTATTGCATTTGTTACTATATCCCACTTAACTGTTTAGTAACAGATTCTTAAAATAAAATCCTATCAGTTCATAACAGACTAGTAATACCATGCCTTTTTTCTGTGTATTCAGCTTGACTTTGAGGAAACTGGAGTTTCACATGCCAACAGAACTGCTGTTTTCTAAGAGAGAAAATAATCATGTAAGGATCATGGTAAACAACCAAAGTTTAATGTAAATCGAACTTCTTGAATTTTCATCCCAAATAACCCTTCAGTTATTCTTAGAATTTAAGCTATCATTTTTGACAATTCACTTTTTTCCAGGATATTATAGAAACTGTTTCTGAAATAATATACTTGTAAAAAAGGAATTAAAGTGAGTTAGTTCTGAATTCCAAGAACTTCTTCCAGCATTAGGAGTTAATTTCTCATAGTTCAGGGGCTTTTGAGATCAATGTGCTATCACTTAATGTTTACAAATACATTTCCTTATGACTAAATATAATAAACTGATGTCTTTGCCTGGCTAGTCTGGAAATTAGGTGAATGAAGAATTGTCCAGATGGGTCCAGCTGGCTACAAATATACATGTGAGGCATGACTACGTGCATTCAGTAGCAAAACAGTAGACAACAAGCTGGTTGCTAAGCAAAATGCATGCTGAGCTAGTCCCATTGCTTTCAAGTCTAACTTGGGTTTGATGTAATTCATGAACTGTTTGATTTTAGAAAAATGACCAATGTCCTATGTAACACATGTAAATTTATTGACACTAAACACCATTTCCTTTATTCAAAAAGTTAATGATCAAAATATCAAATCCACTATAGAAATTCAAATGTGTTTACTACATGATGATTTTACATGATGTTTTCCTGTATTAGAAGAAAAAATAACCACTGGCAAGTTAATGGTTGGCAGTATCACCTCCAAGGAATGATCATTTATCTTTTTGAAATCCACCGTTTACCAATATTGCCTCAAAATCTAGAATAACTTTGTGTGTGTGTGTGTGTGTGTGCGCGCTGATCCTGGGGCTCATACAAGGCCAATGTGCTATCTGTGAGCTTTTAACTCAAGGCTAGCACTCTACCACTTGGCCATAGCTTTATTATGGTTAATTGGAGATAAGAGTCACATGGACTTTCCTGCTTTGGCTGGCTTTGAACTGTGACTGAGATCCTCAGATCCCAACCTTCTGAGTAGCTAGGATTACAGGGGTGAGCCATCAGAGCATGGCTTAAAACAACTTTCCACCTCGTGGAAGTGGTGTCTTGAGCTGAAGAGCTCAGGGACAGCGCCCAGGCCCAGATTCAAGCCCTATGTCTGAGGTCCCCCTCCCCAAAATATTTATATCACCTATCATGTATCTTTCTCAAATGTTTATATAATGTGGTTAATTTTTGGTGAGAAGACAATGGCAATAAAAGCCCAAATGAAGTTCCCTTTAGTAGGGCAAGTTAGTTCAGATTGGAATGTAGCAATTTTCTTTAGTAACAAGATAGTCCAAGGCACAAACTGGAAAAAAAAAATGCTAGTTTATCCTTAGATTGATCAAGCCACTTATACAAGAAACAAGAATGCTATTTTTTTCTTTTTCATTTTTTGTGAAGAACAAAGGAAAAAAAATCACTTTAATAGTCTAAAGCCAGATGTCTAAAATCTAAAGGCAAAGAATTTTAAAAGTATTCTGCATGTGCAAGTTACAAACCTTAAATAACGATTTCTTCTAAGACAAAATACATCACAAGCATTCTTATCTATAAAATAACTATTACAGAATAATATCACTATTAAGCCAAAAGATAGCATATTTTTCTTTTCTTTTTTCGGTCGTGGGGCTTGAACTCTGGGCTTGGACAGTGTCCCTGGGTTCTTCAGCTCAAGGCAAGCACTCTACCATTGAGCCACAGTGCCACTACTTGTTTTCTAGTGGTTTATTGGTGATAAGAGTCTCATGGACTTTCCTGCCCGGGCTGGCTTTGAGCTGCGATCCTCAGATCTCAGCCTCCTGAGTTCTAGGATTACAGGTGTGAGCCATAGGCACCCAGTCTGTGCATATTTTTCTTTTTAGGAAATAAACAAATTTTGTTATTAATGTACAATATCGTTTCTCTCTAAATATATCGATTTTTACCAGCTACACATCAGACAAGGGCCTCATATCTAATATACTTAGAGTTCAAAAAATTAAGCCCCCTCAAAGAAACAAAAACCCAATTAATAAACAGGCTAGAGAGAGATTTTTTCAGAAGCAGTAGCAAGAATGGCCAATAGACACATGAAGAAATGTTCAACATTTCTGGCCATAAGAAATGTAAATCAAAACATTGATATTTACCCCAATTAGAATAGCCATTATCAAGAAAACGATCAATAACAAATGCTGGCGGGAATGTGGCCATAGTAAACTCCATTACACTGCTGGTGGGAATGTAAACTTGTTCAACCACTTTGAAAAACAGTATGGAAGTTCCTCAAAAGACTAAACGTAGAGCTTCTCTATAACCCAGCAATTCCACTTCTGGACATTTGTCCAAAAGAACACTAACAAGGCTACTAAAGCTACTAAAGCTGCCAGCATAACTATGTTCACTGTAGCATTGTTTACCATAGCCAAGATAGAGAATCAGCCCAGATGCCCTTCAGTGGATGAATGGATCAAGAAAATGTGGTATATATACACAATGGAATTCTACTCATCTACTAGAATGATATTTTACCATTCATAAGGAAAGGGAAAGATGTGAAAAAATTGTATTAGGCAAAGTAAGACAGACCCAAGAAAACACAGGTTGCATGGTTTCCCTCATTTCTAGTCATTAGAATGTGACTATAAATCTACAAGTGAAAAACACAATGGATGGTAAGAGACAAAAAAATTACACTTGGACACAATAAACAGGACTCTAAACATTCACATAGTGAGACCAGAAGAGGATATTCTTAGAAGGATCAGAGGTTCAGTAGTTATGAGCATATGATCATAAAATACATTTATCAAAATGAACTCCAGGAAATGGAAACAAAGAGTTTTTTTTTCCTTTGTTGTTATTTTTTTCTTTTCCTTTTGTCTTATTTGTGCATTTATCTATCTTTGGAAGGGTGAGGGGGCACAGAAATGGTGGGGCAAAGGTTAAACAAATGCAGCAGTGATGCTCACTAGACACTATATTGAAAAGGAACTATAAAACTTATGGGTGGAGACAGGAGGGACAAGCTGGGTGAAAGAGGGAAGAGTTGACATTGTTCAAAAAGAAATATACTCTTTATGTGTGACTCATGTAACTGTAACCCCTCCGTACATCACCTTTACAATAACAGTAAAAATACAAAACAAAGGCAAATATATATATATATATATATATATATATATATATATGTAATTTTTCTCTATGTTAACTTCTGGAGGGGAAGGGATCAATTACTTTGTCATCTTGCTGAATTGTAAATTATAACTCAATCACTAGTAATTTCAAGAGTCATGTATATTTAACATTCAGTAAACCCTGAATACCTTCAGAATGTATTTAATACTCAAAACACAAAATGAAAGGCCTTGCAATAATTTTATTTGCTAAAGTTAACTAGTTGTAGTTATAACGAAATCATTCACAACTATTATATGTGTTATATATAAGTTGCTAAATTATGGTCATTGTAATATATATTTGGCTTTTGTTCAAACATAGACAATTGTGAAAAGCACACTTTTAAGTACAATCTTTTACTATTAAATGAAGGAAAACTCCTTAGATTTCACTTGCTAACAATATTATCATTTTATTTTATGTATTTTTCGAAGTCTTGTTATGTCACCCAGACTGGCCTTGAACTAACAATCCCCTTGGCTTCAGTCTTCCAAGTGTTGAGATTATATGACCAGGTTCCCATAGTGATATTTTTGAAATGCATTCTTTTCTAAGAAATAAAAGGCTCATGATCTTTTAATTATACCTAAATCCAAAGTAGGTAAAGAAAAAATTGAAGGATGTTGTGTAGAGAATTGATATAAACTGGAGAGGCAAGCAGCTCAGGACCATAATTCTACCTATTCAGAAAGTGAAGACTGCAAGGGTACAGAATTGGGCTTGACTCTTTCACAAGCTTGCAAGACCCCTTCTCAAAAGCCCTGGGCACGATGGCATGTGCTTGTCCTCTTTGCTGGTCATTCCAGCTACATGTGAATCTGAGACTGGGAGAATTGAAGCTCTAGGCCAGTTCAAGCAAAAAGTTAACACATCATTTCAATAAAAAAGCTGGATATGGTGGTACATGCATGTCATTGTGGGCTGGAGGAAAAAAGTGAAACTTTACTTTAAAAATAACCAGAGCAAAAAAAAAAAAAAAAAGACAAGAGGTGTAGCTTACATCTTGCTGGGCAAGTGTAAAGTCCTGACTTTGAATTCAAGTATGGCCAAAAAATAAAAAATAGAAAACAAACAAAAAACAGCTGGGCACTGGTGGCTCATGCCTGTAATTCTAGCTACTCAGGAGGCTGAGATCTGAGGATCACAGTTCGAAGCCATGCTGGGCAGAAACGTCCATGAGACTCTTATCTCCAGTTACTCACCAAAAAGCTGGAATTAGAGCTTTGAGCACAAAAGCTAAGGGACAATAACCAAGCCCTGAGTTCAACTCCCACACATAAACCAAACCAAAACACCCTGCTATAAAGGAATTAATTTTCCCCTTTTCATCAAATCCCAGCATTAATTCTATTGTTTTCTAAAGATAGTAAGATTCTAGTAAGTACAATCACTGGGATAGTTCAAAGTATCTAAACCTTTGCATTGCCAACATTTTAGACTACAGTATAAATGCATTTACAGGATATTTAGCAGGACAGGGCTCTACCCACTAGATGTCACAGGAAAAGCTCATCCCCAGTTCATTGCATATGTTCCCTAGGAGCAAATCCATTAGAATAAAGATATGAACACTTACCACGCAAATGTATTAGGGTTACTGTTCCTACAGAACAAAGTGCCTTCCAGTACAATAATGTCCTTCCAGTACAATAATGTCATTGTGCCTTTGGCTTAGCACCTTTCTCATGAATAGAAATACTATGCCTAGAATATTCCAAATTACTTGGGTACTCCAAGATATATGTTTAGAATTTGATAACAGATTGATGAAATATGGTGATTATTACTGGCTTTAATGTTCCTTTCCAG